ATCATGTTAGGGCCATTTGTTCCAAATTTGAAATATACACTCTTTCCATTCTAATGACCAATCACAAAAAATAAAAATTTGAAAACAGAACCTAGAAAATATTTTTTTAGCCCAATTAACATAGGCCGTCCATTTTGATAAAATGCTTAGATCTAGACCTTGGAAGGATTTTTGTTTCTTTTATAATTTTTAGATGCTTTTTTTATCATCAAATAAACAATGTTAAAAAAGGAAAAAATGATTTTGAGCTTGTAGATGTTAAGATATTAAACTTCACCAAATGAATGATTTACATTCACGGTCGGAGGGGACTCATTTTGACCATATCTAGGGTTCAAATTGAACTTTTTTTTTTTGGTAAGATTGATTACAGAGATGAAGAGAACGTGTGTGCAAAATTTTGGGTCATACAAATACCACAAACATGATTTTCTAGAAGTGTGGTTGCATTATACTATGATACAATTGTTGCATGAGGTCGCTTCCCATACACACACACACACCTATGGGCAAAAATGAACAGTATTTTCGCCCATAGGCTTGGGACCGTCCAATTTTTTCAGATGACGAGGATTAAAGACCGCCACATACCTAGCATGGCTGTGGCAATACCCGGTCACGGACATAAAATGTCTGTGGCGATACCCCGTCACAGATATAGCACGCCCATGGCGATACCTCGTAACAGATGTCTATGGCGGTAAAAAAACACGCAAAAAACACCAAGGACCACGCACCGTTCGTTGCGGCTCCTTTCAATAAACCAACACAGATATAGCAAGTCCGTGGCAGGGCGAAACACTATTCAAAATCACCTATGGGCGAAACATGCTATGTCCGTGGAGGTCTTTAATCCTTGTCGTCTGAAAAAATCATACGGCACCGAGCCTATGGGCAAAAACACTGGTCATTTTCGCCCATAGGCGTTGTGTAGGAGCTGCTCAATCTGAGTCATAGATCTTCTACGACAAAAGGTTAGACATGTGCGACAAAAGGTTAGTCACATGATACAAAAGGTTAGTTGTAGAACGTGGGTGGCCTACACCATAAATACAAGAATTTTCAGGAGTTCTCGAAGCATTTCGGGTGGCTTGCACCATAAAATGGAAAGATCGAGGAAGATATCGCACACAGAATTAGAGCTGGGGGGACACAGTGGAAATGTACAACTAGAACTTTATGTGATCGCCGCATACCAATGAGGCTGAAAGGAAAATTCTATAGGACAACGGCGCTATGGGATGGAATGTGGGATGGACAAAAAACAATGTACCCATAGAATGAGTGTAGCGGAGATGCCGATGTTGAGATGGATGAGTGGGAAGATAAGAAGGAATAGAATTCGAAATGAATCTATTCGAGAGAATTTAGGCGTACCACCAATAGACAATAAAATAAGAGAGAGTAGACTTAGGTGGGCTGGCCATGCGTGGCGATGACCCAGTACAACACACGTTAGGAGTTGGGAGCTAATTCAAGTGGAAAGACTGAAAAGAGCAAGGGGTAAGCCCAAAAGGACGTGGTAAAAGTAGTCTGAAAAGATATAGCCTCACTGAGGATATGGCATTTAATAGAGCAGAATGGAGAATCATGATTCATGTGGACGACCCCAATTAATTGAGAAAAGGCTAAAATGATGATGATGATGAAATTATAAACTTTAAAGCTTCAAAATTAATGTAGATTAAGTAGATATATGAATACTTGAAAATTAACTGTCCAAAAAATACATAACAAGATTTCTAAGACGTGAAATCTATTTTTATTCATTTCCATACATCTTGAGGTCGAGATAATCGATTTAACGATTTTTGGGCATTGAAACAACCTCTTTTAATGAAGTTTTGAGGTGCTCCTTGATTTGATTGTTTAGGGCCTCCCCTTTATATAAACCTTTTCGATTTCTAATATCCCCTTAGTAACTATTTTCATAGAGTAGGAATATAGAGAACAAATCCATCCAAACGCCATAGCGTATACCAACCAATCTCATCAAATAAAATATTTATTGTCACCATGCATTTTTCTTAGACATGTTGGCATGTCTTAGTAGCTTCTTTTGAAGTTCGAGAATTTCTACTAGAAATGGGGGCTTGAGAATGATATGGGGTGGACTTTGGGTTTCTTCTGTCTCTTTCTCTTCTCTATAGTTTTTACAAACTTTGATATGAAAATGGCAGCTAAACAACCTCCAACCATATCTTAGATTTTATGAAAAAGTGTATACAATAAGACCCTTTATTTCTAGTATTTCTAGTATAAGGAGATTGCCATCATCATTGAGCATTAAATGAGAAAGCAAGTGGCATTGGCTAGGCAATGGCCAAAATAAAATTTGTTGAATATAGTAACATACTTCAAATTCATCAGATTTTACATCCAATAGCTAATAGTGATTGTAATCTCATTGTACCAAAAGTGAACGGTCTTGTAGTATAAGAAAAAGTTTGTATAAAGCCTAGGCTCTAAACAATCAAATCGGACCTAACTCCAAAATTTCACTAGAAGAGGTTGTTTTGATGTCCAAATATCCTCAAATTGATCATCTTGACATCAATATGCATGGACAGTTAAAAAAAAATGGATTCAAGTTTTTGAAATGGTGCATCTTACAATGCATTTATGGACAGTCAATTTTTAAGATTTTCAAGTTTTCATAGATCTACTCGATCTACACTACTTTTGTTTAAATTTTATAATTAGACATGAAAAAATATTTTAAGGCCATCATAAAGATTTTCGGTATTAAAACCACATTTCTCGACATTATTTGAAGGTAGGCTCTACTTTGATTGTTTAAATCTTTGGCTTTATACAAACCACACCCTGTAGTATGGGATTCGTAATTTTTATGCAACGTGTGAAAATTTTAGCAAATGACCATCCACATTTTAAAAAATATATATATTCTTTTAAACATGCACAAATATAAAGGACCCAAAATCCCCATATTTCTCTCTTGAGCCCCACACATTTAGCAATGAGCAACCTCTGTCATAGTTGTGAGCAATGTTTGCAAAGCTGGCTGCTTAGAACTGGAACCAGCTGATTAGATCGGAACCATTAGGGTTCTGATTCCGGTTAGGGCCGGTTTTGGTGTTCAAGTATGTATATGAAATACCTCAAAAAAGATCCGGTCCAAAATTGGCTGATATCTAGTCAAACCGGCCATTTTTATATTAAACTGGTTGGTTTTTTGGCAAACCGGGCCGGTTAGTTAAAAAAACAGTCTGTAACATAATATAATGGAGAAATAATGTATAACTCCTGTTATTTTTTGCAGGGGTCGTTATTTGATGCAGAAGTCACATGTCTCTCTTGATTGAACATTTGATTCTATTTTACATGCATTTTTAGCCTTATGCAGGCTTTTGTAGCTAATAATTGATCAATTTTTTTTCTTTTCTTCTATAGATCAAGCGATTTTAGATCAAA